GCTTAGTGCTCATTTAGCTTAGTGCTCCTTTAGCTTAGTGCTCCTTTAGCTTAGTGCTCATTTAGCTTAGTGCTCCTTTAGCTTAGTGCTCCTATAGCTTAGTGCTCCTTTAGCTTAGTGCTCCTATAGCTTAGTGCTCATTTAGCTTAGTGCTCCTATAGCTTAGTGCTCCTTTAGCTTAGTGCTCGTTTAGCTTACTGCTCCTATAGCTTAGTGCTCCATTAGCTTAGTGCTCCTTTAGCTTAGTGCTCCTTTAGCTTAGTGCTCCTTTAGCTTAGTGCTCATTTAGCTTAGTGCTCCTTTAGCTTAGGGCTCATTTAGCTTAGTGCTCATTTAGCTTAGTGCTCCTTTAGCTTAGTGCTCCTATGCCTTAGTGCTCCTTTAGCTTAGTGCTCCTTTAGCTTAGTGCTTCTTTACCTTAGTGCTCCTTTAGATTAGTGCTCCTTTAGCTTAGTGCTCCTTTAGCTTAGTGCTCATTTAGCTTAGTGGTCCTTTAGCTTAGTGGTCCTTTAGCTTAGTGCTCCTTTAGCTTAGTGCTCATTTAGCTTAGTGCTCGTTTAGCTTAGTGCTCCTTTAGCCTAGTGCTCATTTTGCTTAGTGCTCATTTAGCTTAGTGCTCCTTTAGCTTAGTGCTCCTTTAGCTTAGTGCTCATTTTGCTTAGTGCTCATTTTGCTTAGTGCTCCTTTAGCTTAGTGTTCATTTAGCTTAGTGCTCCTTTAGCTTCGTGCTCCTTTAGCTTAGTGCTCATTTTGCTTAGTGCTCATTTAGCTTAGTGCTCCTTTAGCTTAGTGCTCCTTTAGCTTAGTGCTCATTTAGCTTAGTGCTCCTATACCTTAGTGCTCCTTTAGCCTAGTGCTCCTATAGCTTAGTCCTCCTTTAGCTTAGTGCTCCTGTAGCTTAGTGCTCCTATAGCTTAGTGCTCCTTTAGCTTAGTGCTCCTTTAGCTTAGTGCTCCTATAGCTTAGTGCTCCTTTAGCTTAGTGCTCCTATAGCTTAGTGCTCCTATAGCTTAGTGCTCCTGTAGCTTAGTGCTCCTTTAGCTTGGTGCTCCTTTAGCTTAGTGCTCCTATAGCTTAGTGCTCCTTTAGCTTAGTGCTCCTATAGCTTAGTGCTCCTTTAGCTTAGTGCTCATTTAGCTTAGTGCTCCTTTAGCTTAGTGCTCCATTAGCTTAGTGCTCCTTTAGCTTAGTGCTCCTTTAGCTTAGTGCTCCTATAACTTAGTGCTCATTTAGCTTAGTGCTCCTATAGCTTAGTGCTCCTTTAGCTTAGTGCTCCTTTAGCTTAGTGCTCATTTAGCTTAGTGCTCCTTTTTCTTAGTGCTCCTTTAGCTTAGTGCTCCTATAACTTAGTGCTCATTTAGCTTAGTGCTCCTATAGCTTAGTGCTCCTTTAGCTTAGTGCTCCTTTAGCTTAGTGCTCATTTAGCTTAGTGCTCCTTTTTCTTAGTGCTCCATTAGCTTAGTGCTCCTTTAGCTTAGTGCTCCTTTAGCTTAGTGCTCCTATAACTTAGTGCTCATTTAGCTTAGTGCTCCTTTAGCTTAGTGCTCCTTTAGCTTAGTGCTCCTTTAGCTTAGTGCTCCTTTAGCTTAGTGCTCCTTTAGCTTAGTGCTCCTTTAGCTTAGTGCTCCTTTAGCTTAGTGGTCCTATAGCTTAGTGCTCCTTTTTCTTAGTGCTCCTTTATTAAAAGTAAAACCTTTGATCAAACAGCACATCCCTGTGAGAGAGCAGTGTCTCAGTACCTCTTCTTTAGTTCGATCTTTGGCTCTGAACAGATTGATTTTCACAACCTGTTTTGCAATGCTAGCTTTACAACCTCTGACCTTTGATGCCCAGGTTGGCACCAGGTTGGAACCTGCTCTTCTGGGGTCATACAGTCAGATCTCCTGATCGTTCACAAATCAAAGGCCTATTTTGGTTTTGATGATTTCATCTTTCAAGGAATTAATCACATTCCCTTACTTGTTTACTATGGCCAGTAAGCTGTGGTGTCCAACTTGGATTTCCGTTGACTCCAAAGGACATTAAACCAATACTTGCTTTGTGGTGTGAGTATTTAGTTTCTTCTGATCAGCTACTTGGAAAGCCAGCTATTAAAATACACCCAGTTGCTCATTAGAAATGGAACTAGCAATCACAGAGACAGACAGACACATTACCACCTGTCTGCCACCATTTATCAGTGTGCAAAGACAATGATGTTTAATTTAAATACAACTAGAGCTATTTATTTATTTAGTAATTTAGACCAGTTTATTTGTACTTATTTGCAATGTTGCATGAGCATTCGTTTCCCCTGACTCAGCTAATACAAATGGATGCACATAATTTAAATAATTGAGTTTGCATGCAGGAAGCTTGTTGTGTGATGTTTCAGACGTAGAAGGTACAAGGAGCACCTCCATCAGAGATAGAAGGGGACCCATACCGCAGAGTTCATTATGCCAAAGCATAGGTCCAATCTGATCATTACTGACTCAGGCGATAATGGACCTTTTCCCATTAAAAAAGGGATGCACTGAAAGAGCCGTCGGCCTTTTTTGAACATGGCTTTCTCAGTCGGCGTAGTGGCAGATATGAAGAATATGTGGTTGTGCTGTAGAGGTGTTTGTCAGAAAAGCAGCAGGTGATACAAAAAATGAATAGGCTGAAGAAGGATGGATCAGTGCTTTTATGTCCTATTCATGCTGGCATATGAATATAGGCATGCTATATAAAAGCCTGGGAGGGGACACATACAATCAGAAAGGTTACTTCAGAAAGCAGGAACCAGCACAGCAAACAAAAAAAAACATAGACAACCTCTTCCTCTGTACCATCAAATAAGTACGTCACTTTTGTTTTTACTCAGTACTATTAGATTTCATTGGTTAGCACAAAATGTTGTCTGTTCATGTTGAGAAGTGTTTGGAGTCTCTTAGGTAATGTGGCACAGAGCCGTTGGCTAAATGCACAACAAATGACATATTCATTTGTTGGTTTTCTAAGAACAGTTGTAGACACACATTCATCACTTTCTGAGTTTCACTGAGGTAAGTCTGGTGGTTTTGCTAGGAAACAAGCAAGAAAAGGACTGTTCATCTTTTTACAACAGCAAAAGAAGTAAACAACTACAAAATACTCTCTCTCTCACACACACACACACACACACACACACACACACACACACACGCGCGTGCGCACTTGTAGACTAGAGGTCCAATGGTACGCCTACTGTACTTGGTTCAAAGCATAACTTGCCTTTGATGTCCTTGTTCAGATAATTTTCAGTACAGAGTGAACGATGTTTTTGGACTCACCAGGAAGCTTTAAACCCATGCCCAACGAGAAGGCTCCAGGTCCAGATGGGTTTCCAGTAGAACGCTATAAAGTAATCTGGATCATTCTGGCTCAAACAGTCTTCAAAATGATGCATGAAATGGAAGAAAATGACAGGCCCAACATGAATTTAGCCAACATTAGCCTCCTGTTAGAGTTGACCCTCATTCCTAACTCATTCCTCACTGGTGAGTGAACGCTGGCGCGTCTGGCTGCTGCTGCTCACCGGTTGTTAGTTGTTTTTACGTTACTTTTATACATTTTTATACATTTTTACGCTATTTTGTGCTATTTTGGAAGCCTACCTGAACTGTTATTCGACCCTTTTTGAAAACCTTCCCATCTGACTGAAATAACTGCCTGTCTGAGGGGCTTAAACACGCTCGCTCAGCCTCAACAGTCAAACAAGGATGTGGATCCACGGCTTATGGGTGTGGTCCGTGCTCACCTGGGTCGTCTTGTCCTTGGTCCACTACCCAGTGACTGCTCTTCTTCAATATTCTGCTCACAAACTTTTATGGCTGCGCTTTTCCCTGCCGGTTCCTCCACCAGCGGCCCTGCATCTCCATCCAGACATCGCCTTCCAGCCACGCCGCAGATACATTCATCGAGGATCCCGACGAAGTTTCTGTGTCCAAGAGTCTGGCGCAGTCAGCTCCTTCTGGTCCAAAACCCGCCGCTCTTCCCATACAAAGACCCGAACTGCCAACCACCGCATGCTAGCCCACCTAGCCAGGTCGGCTGAGCATACGATCAAACACGGCAACTCCACCATCAACTTCGGCCTACTGAACATTCGCTCTCTTACGGGAAAAGGGCATCTCGTCCACGATCTCCTTTCTGACCGTAAACTTGACTTTCTCTGCTTGAGTGAAACTTGGCAACACCCTAATAATGACTTGATTTCACTCAATAACTCCACTCCGCCTGAGTTTGTTTACATCTGTAAACCGCGGGAGTCAGAGAGGGGTGGAGGTCTCGCGATAATTCACCGGAAGCAGTGGAAAGTCTCTCCAGTCTCTGCTCCATCCTTCCACTCATTTGAATACAGCGCATTACAACTCCCTGGATCCACTCCTACCATCATATGTACTGTCTACCGCCCACCCAAGCCGAATAAGGACTTCTTAAATGACTTTACTGCTCTCCTCACTCACATTTCCATACTCTCTCCCAATCTGGTAATCGCTGGTGACTTTAACATTCACATGGATGAAAACAATCTTCTTACCAGAGACTTTACTTCCTGTTTAGATAGTTTTGGACTCAAACAGCAGATCAACTTCCCCACTCACTCCAAAGGCCTTTGTAACTTTGTCACCTGGAGTCTCCTGGAGTTTCTGTGTCGTTGGCCCGTCGGCCACCACCTACCAGACTCCAGAGCACTTGTGTTGGAGCCTGCCGGTCATTACGCTGATCTAAGATGTCACTTACAAAACAATTCAGTTCATAAAAATGCATTTTTTTATGAGACAGCGCTGCAGTGGCAACCCAGGAAGTAAACTTTGATGATGTGTCTTTACTTTAGTGTAAGTTAGTGTTGTTTGGTCAAGGGCAGGGTACTTTAACCTAAAAAGCACTAAACATCAGGATTTGATAGGAACCTGCCTTCACTTAGTTTTATGTTTGAACATGTTGTAGTTCAGCAGGGTGTAGAAGTGACTCAAGTCTTTTTACTTCCTCAGACAGTATTGAAGATTACATCCAGACTGCGTCATCCAACGTGGACTCGGCCAACCAGGAACTTGCCAAAGCCAGCCAGTACCAG